AAAGATGTCTTTTTTACTTGAGAGTCTTCTTTCACCGTTTCTTCGGTGTTGCCTATTGCATCTTCCACGTTGTCTATTGGTGAGAATTCTATGGGTTTCGAGTTTGTTTCTTCTGCATTGGGCATTGGAGTTGACTCCGTCGCTATTTTCCTTGTTTCATCAACACTTTGATCAGGTGTCTCTAGATCAATCTCGATGGTGGGTTCTACTCGTTCCCCTTCCATGCCCTCTCTTGCTCTGTTCTCCGCTGTACTCCTTGTGCTGACCATGTTAACTGAAAAGTTCTTCTTTGTTATCTTTGGGCCCATTGATGTTGTTTTGCGAAGCGACGAATTATACTTTGCTTCGGTAGGTCTTTTTTCAGCTACCGGTACCCTGCTCCGCCTCATTATTTCTATTTACAATTGCTTTTATTTACAATTTTACTATATACACAATCCTATTCTAAGAATAAAATCTTTCGGGAAGGAAGAAAAAATATATATATATACAACGTGGTGAAAACCTTGTTTCAGTTCTCTTTATTAACTTTTCGAGAAACTTCCCTTATTTGTGGTCTCAACCGTACCTGGTTCCAATTAGTCTTGTTCTATCTTAATTCTGTCTTAAAACACTTCTTGTAATTTTACTTCAATTTTTACACTGTCCCAAGACTTCCTTGTACCGTCCCAGGCTTCTTTCTCCTGTCCCAAGACTGTTCGGTACCGTCCCAGTACTTTCCGGCAGTGTCCCAAGACTCTTGTCCAAGACTACTGTCCCAAGACTAGTGTCCCAAGACTACTGTCCCAACACTAGTGTCCCAAGACTACTGTCCCAAGACTACTGTCCCAAGACTAGTGTCCCAAGACTAGTGTCCCAAGACTACTGTCCCAAGACTACTGTCTCAAGACTAGTGTCCCAAGACTAGTGTCCCAAGACTACTGTCCCAAGACTACTGTCCCAAGACTACTGTCCCAAGACCCTGTCCCAAGACCCTGTCCCAAGACCCTGTCCCAAGACCCTTGTCCCAAGACCTTGTCCCAAGACCCTGTCCCAAGACCCTGTCCCAAGACCCTTGTCCCAAGACCCTTGTCCCAAGACCCCGTCCCAAGGCCCTGTCCCAAGACCTTGTCCCAAGACCTTGTCCCAAGACCTTGTCCCAAGACCCTGTCCCAAGACCCTGTCCCAAGACCTTGTCCCAAGACCTTGTCCCAAGACCTTGTCCCAAGACCCCGTCCCAAGACCCTGTCCCAAGACCCTGTCCCAAGACCCTGTCCCAAGACCACTGTCCCAAGACTGTACTGTCCCAAGACTGTTGACAAGTGTCTGGGTGGTGGGACTTCTTTCCACTTCGTTATGGGGACTTCTTGATTCACTGTACCTTGTACCACCACTCAAGCTCTAGTAAAATTTTCCCAAAATCCTCTCTTAAAAGCCAAATGCTGACCCCCCTTTTTCTTATTTCTCTTTTTGGCTACCTCTATTTCAATGTTCCAAGTAACTTGAGACCAAAACCTGTGCCAAGGTATCTTGTGATCACCTGTTCGTACAAAATCTTAACAAAAATCCTCACCAAAATGCAACAAAAATCTAAGTAAGAAAAAGTAATAAAAACAGAAAGATGAGCCCACCTAAAATTCAAAGGTGACAAATGTCTACCTTCTATCTAAAAAATGTCTGGTACCTAATTGTCACGCGTTTCCTTCCCCCCTGCTAGCGATCTTATGGGGTATTACAAAAACTGTCTATGTCCCTTCCCCCCTACCAATCCGACCAGGGTACCTTCCTTAACTCGAGTTCAAATTTCGATATCCACCTAATATTACCAACGCGTGTTAATGTCTAATGTAACTAAGTCAACGATGTCGACTAATTAGTTACTCTAATTTCCCCCTTTTTACAATTTACAACCGCCAACCTCTAACTTAACCAGCCCCCCTTCTAACCTCCCCCCTTTTTAGCCCCCCTTCTTAAGCCTAAAATTACCTTAAGCGCCGGGTGCTAAACCTCTCAAGAGAAAACCGTAGACCTGTCTCCAGGCCTGCTCAAGTAAAAACGTTCCTCAAAACCGGGGGATGTCGCTTATCCTATTTTACACTTATCTCCTATAATGTAATGTGGATTTTAACGATACCCGTTCTGCCCAACTTGAGAACTCGAGAATTGCCAAATCCTTCTTGGCTGCTTTCCCACCCGACTGGTCACCTGTTCCAGTCCAGTCTCCTATTGGTTCAGCTCAAGTGTCCCTGAACCACTTTCCCACTCGGCTGGTCACCTCTTCCAGTCAAGTCTCCTAATGGTTCAGCTCAAGTGTCCCTGAACCACTTTCCCACTCGGCTGGTCACCTCTTCCAGTCAAGTCTCCTATTGGTCCAGCTAAGTTCCAAGCTATCTGAAAACCCTTGACAACGCCCCACACTCGGGCACTTTATTCAGTTTACTGGTTTAAATTGCTAGGTTGATCGAAACGATCGAACTTGTAAAACAGTATGGGTATACTATTTAATTAATATAAAGGTTTGATCCAACTAATCTGGTGTCAAAGTCACTGTCTTTTTTCGTTTTATGGTTTTTGTTCCTTTTTCTATTCTTTTTTGGTTTTTGTTTTGCTTTTTGTCTTTTTGCTCGTGTTTTTGTCCCCCTAGTTGCCCCCCTTTACTCGGTTAGCTAAGCCTCGTTCGGAGAGCGTACCAGGAAATTTTCTCGAGTTTTCTTAAAAAGCTATCACGGTACAACCGGAAGGTTTGCACGTTCCCGCTGAACCGTACCACCGGTACTCTAGAATGGGCATTCAGCCCGAAGCTGTCTCAAGTGGGTTCGACTCCGTAGTCTTGATGTCGTAAACACCCAGGAGCGCCATAAAAACAATATGTAACATTCGTCTACTGCAGTCACACATGAAACTTAAGAAAAATAGGCCCTATAACCACTGGCTCAAGGGTCAGGGACACCATCTCTTGTGTTTTTCTACCTCAAGAACGGTCGGAGCCAGTTCGGTTCGTTTGTGACATGAGACTACGACCCGTTACAGCTTAAAGGCTACTACTAAAATATCCCCCCACTCTAGAATTAGAAACGTCCCCATAATTAGGTCTCTAGATACCCAAAATACATGAACGCCATTAAAAACCGGGTTAGAACAATCCGTTAAGTTTATTTTTATTAGACAGTGGAACTTTGATCCATTTCAGATGGATCAAACTAAAACTCGCCTTACCTCAACATAACAATTATAAAACACACTCTAGAAATTTAAATTAGGTACTCACATCGTAGCACGCTCAAGAAAGGGAAGTACTTCAGTCGGTAATCAACTCGAGAATTAAATAATGTAACTAAATGAGTTTTAATGTTTATCAGTTTCAATGACAAGGACAAGTTTTAACTCTAGGATATAGCTTCTCGTGAACCATTGGGACACTCAAGCTGTCCACCTTTCCACCGAAGGTTCACTCTAGTCCAGTTCAAATAATAATCCAATCGAGTAATGACAATCCAGTTCTCGGGAATACGCTTGTCTCTGTTTCAGATGGGACAGCTCTACTCTTGTTCTATTGTGACAGAAATTGCGAATAGCAATTTCCCACCGTTTTATTTAGCAACTTTCCCGCGATTGTTACTCGATTGTTCTGACTTCTCTTTTCTGATTTTCAGTTATCGCGAGAAAATCGTGCATGACAGGTTCCATTCGAAATTTTGAAAAACTAAATTTCACTCCAAAATCAAGTGTTTTTTGCTTCTCTCAAGGTCAAACTTCCGAATATGACCGACTGGCACTTTTTAAACTAATTGCTCGGAATGAAATCGACCTAAGGAATGGCACTCGGGGACTTGAAAACTGGTGTTATGAAAACTTAATGACGACAAATACGAGTAAATGTAAATACGATGAGGTTTAAGTCTTTTACTACTACTACTACTACTACTACTACTACTACTACTTAATTTAAGAGGAAATCTATCCACCAAACTGAACGACACCGAACTGCATCCCACGATTGTTCAAAAGGATTTGGAATAACCCCAAATCCCTCTTAATAACCCCAAATCTTACATGGAATGAAAACTGTAAAATGCGTGCCCAAAAGGCAACAAGGGGCTTTTTCCAATTGAAACGAAACATATCCGCTACGTGCTCATGTGTTAACAAACTCCACTCGTATACTGGCTACTTCGTCCCGATTATAACTTACTGTTCACAAGCTTGCTCACCAAGTAGAGCCAACCTAGTAAGTTTCGAACGAGTACAAGTAATGGCCACAAAGTGGATTCTTAATTGCAATCTTGACTACGAAGGAAGACTAGTCAAACTTAAACTACTGCCATTATGCCTCTACATTGAAATGCACGATCTTCTCATGTATTTATCCTTAGTAAATTCCAAATATGACTAATGAATTGCTGTTGAATCTTCTAAGGAAGAAAAAACTCGCCAACACAGCAGAGGAGAACATGCAGTCAACAAAAACAGACTGAACAAATCAGACGAAAACTGCTTTCACAGAACGAAACTCTTACACAACATCTTCATCAAACTCTACGAAGACTATGGGAACCAACTTGACAAAAAATCAAATAGCAAACTTTATTGCGATTTCTTTGTCAGAAAATTCAATTATCTAAACAGATGCACTTGGAGAATTATCTGCAAATGCATTCACTGTAACAACTGGAAAAAACTCGAAGCTCAAACTTAACTTGATGAAAACATGAAAGTGACGGGACTCATAAACCCTTGGGAAGCATGACTTCCCAGAAGCCTCAACTACTACTACTACTAAAGTAACGTTTTTGTCGACCCGATGTTAGGAAAACCACCAAAGGAACTGGCTTTGGCAGAGACGGTGAAAAGCATGTACAGCTGTGTTTAGACGCTAGCCAGTCGTTTCAGAACCTAGCTTTTTTACGTCGATATTACTTCCGGGCGAATGTTATAGGATCAAAGAAGCAGTTAAATGATGACGAGGCGGGCCAGATTGTTAGCGAGCAAACTTTTAAGACAACGAATGCCTTTTCAGTTTAACATGGATCTTCGTGAAAAGCTCAATGAGCACCGTCGCCAAAATTTTCTTTGTGATGTTAACCTTATTGTTGAGCAAAGAAAGTTTCCGGCTCATAAATTTGTCCTTGCTGCTACTTCTGAATACTTCAGCAATATGTTTGTTGATGAAGCCCCCCCTCTGCCACCGATGCATTCTACCGAAAATGATGAGCAAAAGGAAAACGGCAAAATTTTACAGCCAAAAGAAGACGACGAAAATGAATTAGTGGTTGATGCTAGCAGTAAAAATGGTCATAAGGCGGAATCAAATGAGATGCAGAGTGATGATAAAGTTGGCAACTCTGCCAATGGGACATTTGGAAAGTCTGAAAAAATAATTGCAGATGTCGAATTAGAGGGCGCTAAAGCCAATGGGTTTGAAGCAATCCTAAAGTTCCTCTATACCGCAAGGTTTGCTTTTTTATTAATCAGAATGCAAATAGGAAGTTTTCGTCGCCTTATATCTACGAATAAATTAAGCTAGAAAGTAGTTTAAGGTAAGGAGGTATAGCTTACTGGTTAAAGCAATTGTCTGCTGAGCCCAATTAGAATCCCGTACAAACCTAATACGCTTGCGGCAAGCAAGCGTTATCGAATCAAAACACAGGCTTTTTTCTAAACTAAATTAACTTTTTAAACGATTGTAACAGTCGCCTACTTAAGTCACATATGAAGTTAAAGAAAAATAAGCCCTATAACCATTGGCTCAAGAGTCAGGGACACTATCTCTTGTGTTTTTCTACCTAGAACGGTCGGAGCTAATTCGGTTCACTTGCGACATGAGACTAAAACCCTCGTTACAGCTTAAAGGCCACTACCAAAATACCCCCCACTCTAGAAAATAAGAACGTCACCATACTTAGGTCTCAAAATACCCCAAATACGCGAACGCCGTTAAAAACAGGGTCGGAACATTCCGTTTTAGTTGCTTTTTATTTGACAGTGGAACTTTGATCCATTTCAGATGGATCAACCTAAAACTCTCCCTACCTCAACATAACAAGTATAAAACACACTCAAGAAAACTAAATTGGGTACTCACATACCAGCACACTCGAGAATTGGAGTAACTAAATTAATCAGCAACTCTAGCATTAAAGGGAATTAAGTTTTAACTCGAGAAGTTTGTAATTAATGAATTCCTGCAAAGGAAATGAGTTTAACTTGAGAATTGAGTCTTTGGGGCTGGACCATTGGGAGACTTCGGTTGTCCACCTATCCACCGAAGGTTCACTCTGGTCCACTTCTAATTAATATCTTCTTCTTTCGTAATCGTTCTGTCTCCTATTTCAGGATAAGACAGATCTACTCTAGTATGATATTATATCTGGAAATTGCGAATAGCAATTTCCGCTGTTTTTTGATTACTTTCCCGAGATTGTAATTCGGTTGTTCTGATCTTATACTTCTGAGATTTTCAGTTGTCGCGAGAAAGTTGAGTATGACATCCTCAATTCGAATTTTTGAAAAATTCCATATCACCCCAAAATTACGTTCGTATTGCTCAAGGTCAAACTTCCAAATATGACCGACTGGCACTTACTCCCCGGACTCAAGATCGATATCCTCATCGCGTGTTTCCGTCTGCCAGTGAATCCCCAGAATGTTGAGTGTTGCTCAAGATACAGTGCCAGTGGTCATTTACAGAAGTTTGCAGCAGATTTAACTTTATCTACACCCCAACATTCACAACCATGCAAAATTGTCACACTATCGCTCAACAGCAATCAAAATCTGCATACACCTGCACCTTAAATTTCCGCTTTGCAAGCTAATGATTAAAATTTCTTTTGTTTTATCCAATCAGAAAATTGTCGTGCAGCATTTTGATTTATATAATAGATATAGCATATTAATAACAATATTTCGTTTCGTTAAAATTTCTTTTTCATGAGCTCAGATTTCATCCGAGCTCACACTCGAGTCCCGTTGCTTCCCTCTCAAGACTCAAGATCCCCTCACTGAGCTCCCTGCTCATTTCGTGTTGCTTGCCTTTCAGGTGCTAGGCCCTGATGCGTTTGACACCGTAATATGCCTTAGCAGCGCTTCCTCATCATCGGAGCTGATCACGATCTCTTCCCACGCTTTTAGTTGTTCGTAGGATTGCATCCACTCCCTCTGCTCTTGCAACCACTCTGCCTGGTTTGGCAAACCCTTCACTTTCGATTCCCTGTTCAAGCAAAAGGAGTTGCGAAGACTCAGGCTCACGTTCTTCACTAAGTCCTCTTCCAATATTGATTCTCTCGCCTTGGTATTATCTCTAGACACCCTAGCAACTCTATTCCAAACCGTCGTAATCGCATTTCGGTGGGTCAGCAAAGGTCTCTTGAAGGCTTCCGGTCCTATCTCCGCCAGGAACTGCCGATATTCTCTCTGATGTTTCTTCATATCATCCTTCGTCACCGCATATAACCAAGATGTCAATGTCGCTCGAAACCACGGGAAGAACCTTATGCGGCTCCATAAGTGCCTGACCTCCATCGGTATAGCGAACGATTTGCATGTAGTCTCAAACAACTCAATTCTCCTGCTATAGTCAATAGCGTGTATCGACTCTGCTTCCACCCTCTGATGTGCTTCTGAGTTATTTGCAATACTCCAGGCCATGATTCCACGCTCAGCGCTGTCACCAGATGGTGCTCAGACTCCAGCATCTCCAGAGACTGTAAGCTGCACATCCTCGAGAAGAACCCCAATGCCGTTGCTATATTCACAATAGTGTTCGTGTAACACTCAGCCACTATCTGCACTTCACTTTTCTCTCTTTCTGTTACGTCGCCTAACCAAGCGACTAGATCTTCTCTCTGGAAGGACTGCACTCTGACACATGATCGTCCATCACAAGTGTGCTCTCCGCTTCCACACGTCAGGTCAAGACAACTACCGGGTTCCAACTTCTTTACTGATCCCAGCTTACTCATCGCCTCACCCGACTCTTTATTCTGAGGCAGGATCAGCTTGTGTATTACATTCAGAGGGAGTGGTAAGGAGGTATAGCTTTAAGGTAAGGAGGTATAGCTTACTGGTTAAAGCAATTGTCTGCTGAGCCCAATTAGAATCCCGTACAAACCTAATACGCTTGCGGCAAGCAAGCGTTATCGAATCAAAACACAGGCTTTTTTCTAAACTAAATCAACTTTTTAAACGATTGTAACAGTCGCCTACTTAAGTCACATATGAAGTTAAAGAAAAATAAGCCCTATAACTATTGGCTCAAGAGTCAGGGACACTATCTCTTGTGTTTTTCTACCTCGAACGGTCGGAGCTAATTCGGTTCACTTGCGGCATGAGACTAAAACCCTCGTTACAGCTTAAAGGCCACTACCAAAATAACCCCCACTCTAGAAAATAAGAACGTCACCATACTTAGGTCTCAAAATACCCAAAATACGCGAACGCCGTTAAAAACGGTCGGAACATTCCGTTTTAGTTGCTTTTTATTAGACATTGGAACTTTGATTTATTTCAGATGGATCAACCTAAAACTCTCCCTACCTCAACATAACAAGTATAAAACACACTCAAGAAAACTAAATTGGGTACTCACATACCAGCACACTCGAGAATCGGAGTAACTAAATTAATCAGCAACTCTAGCATTAAAGGGAATTAAGTTTTAACTCGAGAAGTTTGTAATTAATGAATTCCTGCAAAGGAAATGAGTTTAACTTGAGAATTGAGTCTTTGGGGCTGGACCATTGGGAGACTTCGGTTGTCCACCTATCCACCGAAGGTTCACTCTGGTCCACTTCTAATTAATATCTTCTTCTTTCGTAATCGTTCTGTCTCCTATTTCAGGATAAGAAAGCTCTACTCTAGTATGATATTATATCTGGAAATTGCGAATAGCAATTTCCGCTGTTTTTTGATTACTTTCCCGCGATTGTAATTCGGTTGTTCTGATCTTATACTTCTGAGATTTTCAGTTGTCGCGAGAAAGTTGAGTATGACATCCTCAATTCGAATTTTTGAAAAATTCCATATCACCCCAAAATTACGTTCGTATTGCTCAAGGTCAAACTTCCAAATATGACCGACTGGCACTTACTCCCCGGACTCAAGATCGATATCCTCATCGCGTATTTCCGTCTGCCAGTGAATCCCCAGAATGTTGAGTGTTGCTCAAGATACAGTGCCAGTGGTCATTTACAGAAGTTTGCAGCAGATTTAACTTTATCTACACCCCAACATTCCCAACCATGCAAAATTGTTTAACTATCGCTCAACAGCAATCAAAATCTGCATACACCTGCACCTTAAATTTCCGCTTTGCAAGCTAATGATTAAAATTTCTTTTGTCTTATCCAATCAGAAAATTGTCGTGCAGCATTTTGATTTATATAATAGATATAGCATATTAATAACAATATTTCGTTTCGTTAAAATTTCTTTTTCGTGAGCTCAGATTTCATCCGAGCTCACACTCGAGTCCCGTTGCTTCCCTCTCAAGACTCAAGATCCCCTCACTGAGCTCCCTGCTCATTTCGTGTTGCTTGCCTTTCAGGTGCTAGGCCCTGATGCGTTTGACACCGTAATATGCCTTAGCAGCGCTTCCTCATCATCGGAGCTGATCACGATCTCTTCCCACGCTTTTAGTTGTTCGTAGGATTGCATCCACTCACTCTGCTCTTGCAACCACTTTGCCTGGTTTGGCAAACCCTTCACTTTCGATTCCCTGTTCAGGCAAAAGGAGTTGCGAAGACTCAGGCTCACGTTCTTCACTAAGTCCTCTTCCAATATTGATTCTCTCGCCTTGGTATTATCTCTAGACACCCTAGCAACTCTATTCCAAACCGTCGTAATCGCATTTTGGTGGGTCAGCAAAGGTCTCTTGAAGGCTTCCGGTCCTATCTCCGCCAGGAACTGCCGATATTCTCTCTGATGTTTCTTCATATGATCCTTCGTCACCGCATATAACCAAGATGTCAATGTCGCTCGAAACCACGGGAAGAACCTTATGCGGCTCCATAAGTGCCTGACCTCCATCGGTATAGCGAACGCTTTGCATGCAGTCTCAAACAACTCAATTCTCCTGCTATAGTCAATAGCGTGTATCGACTCTGCTTCCACCCTCTGATGTGCTTCTGAGTTATTTGCAATACTCCAGGCCATGATTCCACGCTCAGCGCTGTCACCAGATGGTGCTCAGACCCCAGCATCTCCAGAGACTGTAAGCTGCACATCCTCGAGAAGAACCCCAATGCCGTTGCCATATTCACAATAGTGTTCGTGTAACACTCAGCCACTATCTGCACTTCACTTTTCTCTCTTTCTGTTACGTCGCCTAACCAAGCGACTAGATCTTCTCTCTGGAAGGACTGCACTCTGACACATGATCGTCCATCACAAGTGTGCTCTCCGCCTCCACACGTCAGGTCAAGACAACTACCGGGTTCCAAATTCTTTACTGA